AGTCAGCTGGGATTTTAGTCAATTTTTACGGACTTCTCAGGAATAATCCAGAGATTCCCAGATGGCAGACTACAGGTTGAAAACCACTGATCTACAGATATCAGTTGGATAATCCTCCTAAGGTTTTAATATTCATCTAAACTTGAACACTGTCCAAATGGCAGTGTAAGATCAAGAAAGTCATGAGATTTTTCATATATATCCAGACTGAGTGTATAATGATATAAAGCATATAAACAAATGAAAATTAAAAATAATTCAGAAGCTGAAAATGTATAGTGTCTAAAAAGTAGTGCAGATATTGATTTTACAGAAATCCAAGGAAAGACAAGTAAAAAAGATAACTTCGTTTTTTCAATTTCAAATAAGGTTAACTTAGAAAAAAAATTATCTTTTCTAATCCATAATTTTAATATTTTCCTTACTTTCCCATTATTTTCTATAGGGCCATGGCAATAGTCAAAGTACAGCATTTAATACTTATAGCAAGACCTCCATAAGTTAATATTTTCTGTCTCCAAAATAGTTATTCCTTTTAATGTGTAATTTACTAAACCCAAACATATTCTCACTGTATTTCTTAAGAAACAGTAAATGAGTTAGTAATGAGTTAATTTTTAAATTAAGACTTTTTCCTTAAGCTTAGATTTTAGTTTCCCTAAAAACATAGAGTGTAGGTCTTCTTACCTGCTGTCAAAGTATCTGTCTATCTCCTGTCTCCTCTCAGAGAAAGGAACAAAATTAATTCTATTAATTCTATTCCTTCTCATTCAAACCAGTTATTCTCTTTAAAACATTACCTGGCCTGGAAATGGCAAAGTCTGATTTTCAAAGTCATATCAGACACGTGAGCAGAATTCTGCTCTTAAGGGTCTACGCAAAAACTTACAGCATTAACAGTAAGCACACTACAGGATATCAGCAATCTGGAGAAATGCCTAAACCTTTCACAAGTATTTTCTTTCTCCTTTACAGCTTTTACCTTCGCTCTCTCACCACAATCCAACAGGGTGCTCAAGTATGCTGCCAGCTTCAAACACATTAAGTATTCCCTCTGCGATATGTGCACACACTATTTTCAAATACAGCATCACACACACACATGGTTGAACCTGGACCTATGTGGGGAAATGTTGTTCCTATTCAAGAGCTCTCCAGCCTGATTTCAGAAAACATACTCTTATCTAGCAAAGACTTTTAATCATATGTTTGGGCTTCATTCAAAACAATGAGAAAGTGCCTAACTCTCAGAATACTAGAGCATGGGCTCCACCATTTAAAATAATTAAGGGAAAAAATTATTCATTTTTTCTCTTTTTTTTTTTTTTTTTTTATCCTTTCTCCTTTATTTATTCAACTTGTCAATTTTTTCCTGTATTTTTTTCCTGCTGCAAATGCTTTAACTGCAGTAATAATGCTTATAATACTTTGTTCTTCATTGTCAATGTACATTTTTAGCCTTCTGCTGCTGATTTTGCCACATATATTCAGACTGGACCAGACTTGCTTTTATCAGTCTTGCCCCCTGCAATTTTTACCTCACTTTGCAGCTCTGCTCAGTTACAGTGGTTTCTTTGTCTTTCCATCAATTGAGATGTAAAAAGGGTAATTTAGGAAGGTGGGAGGATATGGAGTGGGAAGTGAGGATGAGGAAATCTTCTTCGAAAAGTTTTGCCTGTTTTTTACCTTGTCATGCAGACTTATATAAAAGCAGCCTCTCCTGGCCGTGGCAGGCCAAACTGCTTTCTTCCTAGTATACCATGGATACCTTTCAACAAAACAGTAAAGTCATTGCTTAACTTTGCATGCACACATAAATTTTATTATCTTCAATAATCAGAAGGTAAAGATAAGCATAAACTGACATGCTTTGCCAAGTAAGAATGAACTTAACTATTGTTCTTACTGTTCTTCATTGAATCTTGGCCTAAAGATTGGTTATACCAGTCTTCCACCCTGCTGAAAAGCATTCAAGCCTTTTGGTACTGTGTGTTATGTCTCCATGTCATCTAGCCTGATACTCATTTCTTGTTATAAGGAAAAGGCTAAGGTTCTGCCTTTGAGTCTGATCCCCAGGTGCCCCTGTCACTAAATCTTAGCTCAGTACAGCTGAACTGCAACTCTTTCAACAGCTGATCAAATGTGCATATCCTCAAAAGCAATGTAAGCTTCTGGTTTGAACCCACTTAATTATTTATTTTTAAATTGTGTATTTATTTTTAGAACAAAGGTGCTGGTCTATTCACAATGTAATGTAGAAGCCTTTGAACCCTTTTAGCCTCCATTTTCTAGAACAGTATAAAATAACAAGGCTACACATGTGATATTCACTGAATTCTTAATAACATCTCCTTGGCATAAAATCCTAAACTATGGTTAATAAAGATAAGGCCTCAAAGTCCCAGGGAGATCTCCATACCCTTGAGACACTGGGAGAAGGAAGGTAGAGGGCTGGGTCTCCCATCAGTCATGTGGAAGCAGAGCTAAGTCAGTGCTGGAT